CGCATAACGGTTGCCAGGGTTCTCATACCAGTGGCGTACCCAGGATTTCGGCTCGGGGGGGGGGGGCGCGACAAAAATTTTTTCTAAAGAAGGTGCGTGGCGTTAGCCAGGCACTCCGAAAAAATTTTTGGGGTGCTTCTCAAAACTTTTGCGGGTCCTCGACCCCTAAAATCTGGAAAAAGGGGGCGTGGCGTTAGCCACGCCCCCAAAAAAATTTTTTTTACAAGGCTAATTTGATTTTTTTAAAATTTTCAAAAATTATTTTAATTATTTACAAAAATAAACAAGTCACTTGCACATTTTTATAACCCATATAAGTAACTTTCAAAAATTTCGCGACCCATTCTCGGGGGGGGGGGGGGGGGGAGTGCGCCCCCCCCCCGCCCCCCTCCTCGGTACGCCACTGTCTCATACCCTGACACCTGCGCATAATGGAATCTGTGATCCCCTGATGTAAGCGTCACCTTGATGCCAACCCTTGCCTTTGATTCGCTGGGAGTGAATATGGATGAACCTTCAGTGAGCACTAATTTCTTGATCTAATTTCCATCCTTCAAAATGAAGAAGGAGAGCTTCCTTTTGCATGAGGTACCTCTCATGAATAAATTAATAGTTCTGCAGGTGCGTCCAACGATTTGAAAACTCTGAATAAAACTTTGTGGGTCAAAAATTAAGCATAAGGTTTCAACTTCACTGCATTTCGCCCATGATTCACTTTCTCCGCAGAGAAGTTGGGAATCTGTTGATGAGCATGATTTCGAATACTGGATAGTCGTTTAAATCATAACTCTCATTATCAGCAAATAATGAGAGTTTAGGATATAGAGAAAGAGGAAGGCGCAGTCGAAAGTTAAATTCAATAGTCATGAAGTTTTACGCTTTTTTTCCAAGTTAGAAAGAGATTAGTAAGCAAACTTTAAAATAAGGCTCCAGCTTTTCTTAGGTGAAGTAAACGACAAAGCAAGTGTAGTACCGCTGATAGAAGTAGAGCACTGTTTTTGGAAAAACGCGATTGTAAGACTTTCAAGTTCTTTTTCTAGTAAAGGCTAGGTTCTGCAAACTTAATTCTCATAATTACCTTTTATTTCGTTGCGAACCCGTGAACCCCCAGTCGGTGGCGCCTATCTGTCTACTATCAATTTTTTGCAAGCCGGGAGAGATGCATTTTCAGTTGTGTAGTTCAGAAGTTTCACCCGTTTTCGTACCTCGCTTTGAGCTTCTGAATTTGGAGAAAAAATCAATTTTTTCAGGAGCCCTTTTGCAAGCACTTTTCTTCTGATTGTTCATACACATTCTCATTTTTAAAGAGCTTTGTTCATTTTGTGCTTTCATGCTTTGAAAGCAGCAAAACGGTTGTGAAAATTTTTCTTTTTACTCAACTGCCGTGAATTTAACAGCTGGGAAGGTTCTTTCTAAAAGTTTGCGATGTTCGGCGGAGATCTGCGTTACAAGATGCTCATTGAGATATGATTTCGGAAATATTTTTCAGCTATAAATTTTTAGTCTTTTTAGGTCGCATAAAAATTATAAGCACCACGCAATCACGGATGCACGCTCTACAAAATGATATAAGACTTTAGCCTAGAGCATTTATTATTAGAAAAACTGAAGATTTCTCTCAGTCAGCGGCGAACAAAATCAAATATAACAAAAGTGCATTTCCTACCACTTGAGAAGGGGAGAAATAAATGAGTCCCTAATTTTTGCAAAAAACATTTATGACAAATCCCGGAATTTCAAGAATAGTGTTTGGGGATTTGGGCTTAGAATATTTTTATCGTTGCTGCTACAATAATTTTTAACACGTTGACGACCGAGCCATTTTTGACCACCTCAAAATGGACTGATGATCTACGGCTGCGGTTTGGACTGTTTAACAGCTACCGCAATGCCGTGTGTTCTATATGAAAACCAGGCCACCAGTGTTATTATTGCATAGAAGTTACCTAAGAAATTTTCGTTTACACACGATAAATTGATGCACGAAAGTGCTACAAGATGGTCAGGGCGTGCATACGCGCGGATACACACGGTCGTCAACGTGTTAAATACGCATAGATTCGCGAAAAGTTCGTAGATTGTAAGTTTATTGCCGCAAAGGCCTTTCTAAAAAGAGTTATGCTAAACCAAACTTGGAGAGTTCGAAAACGGGTAGAACTCCTGAAACAACCCAGTAAGTGACCAATATTATCGTTTTCATGTAATTTATTTTCCATATTTCACACATGCTGAACAGATAGTTTTTCCTGAATGTAAGCGCTATGAGACGTAATGCCAACTCAGCGATAGAATGTGAGCGATGTGTGTTATTTTCCTAACATCAGCGTGGTGGGAAAACGTTGTTTGACATTTACATTCGGCTGTAAAACTCATAAAAACAATGACAGCTAAGGAAAGTTGTTCGCTTCCAGTTTTGAGGGATTCCCTATTTGAGGGCAAGTGAACAAACATCAAATCGGTTGAGATTTCTGGTAATTTTGAGCTGACTAAATCAGTCGTTACTACAAAAGTCATTTTTCGGTGCACTGAAGGAATTTCAAGCTAAACCTCTTTCCGCAAGCTTCAGTTCAAAATCGAGTGAATTACTTTTTCATATTCGGGATCATATTCGATTCACTCCGAATTGTTGAATGTAATCGATTACCGTCAGTAAAGGCATCACCCGAATAGCTGAAGCTCAAAATCTCAAACCAGGTATCACGGTAAACAGATTTGGTAACCAGAGTCAGCTACTCGATAGCCCAGAAATTTGAATTGTTTGGACCTTTTTTCCAAGGAAAATTGACGATGAATAATTATAAGGTCCTCATGCACGTAGAACCTTCTGCATGCTACCGTAATCCTATAGTAACGAAAAGCATTCGACTAATATCAGGTTGTCTCATAAGTCTTTCCATATTTAAAATTTCGTCGCCATTAGTCAGTTCTTCTTGTACTTCTGATATTAGGTCGTTCCATAAGTTCGTAGCGTTTTCATTTTCGTCCTCATATCTTTGAGGAGCGGTTGATTTGCGGCGTGCGTATATCATTTGGAAGGGCTGAGTGTTCTCTCTGAAATATGTCTACTGATTCCAGTGGAGAGCTGATTCATCTCGTAGCTTCCAAAGATGGAAATTGAAAGGCAAAAAGGAGAAATTTCGACATTTGCGCATTTTTCCTTGTGAAAAGAAGCGCTTTTGCATAGATTTTTCTGTCAATTGTGGAGCATGGCGCTCTTACATCAATATGAGACAAGAAAGGATTGGATTGCTACAAAAGATCAGAGGTTGAGCAGGGTGTCCTGAACAAGACTTTTCAGGGGCAGGCAGGATGTCCTGCACTGAAAATTGCCGTACAAGTTGGCGACGGTCAACCGTACCGTAAGCAATCCAACTGCACCGTCTAAACCAGGTCCTACTGCAGAAAAAGCCTAACAGACAGATCCAGTGAGTTTTTGAGAAACATGGCCTCATACGGCAAACGTCGTCAGAACTGTTCTGCACGATTTGACTGGAAGGACTTAAATACCCAGAATACTCTCCGAATTTCGCTATATTAGTTTATCATTTGCTCCGCTCTCTAACAAACCTCATGAATGGCGCATGTCTCGATTTCAGCAGGTAGTTTGAGCGCTGGTTGGATGACTTTCTTGAAACCTGGGGCGCTGCCGTTTGAAAAAATTGAGTTTGAAAAGCTAACAAGAATGTACCAAAGGGACGTGTGCTGCAACGAAGAATATAATTTTGATTGATTTTTACTGTAGAATGATGATTTTGTTGGTTTATAAAAACGCTACGAGCTTATGTAACGACCTAATAGGTTGCGGGGGGGGGGGGGACTTTTCATACGATCAGGGACTTCGCACCTAGCCTTCGCACCTACCTCACACCTACATCGCACTTCTCCATCCACGTAATGAGTTAAGATTCTCCACTACGCCTAGGTGAGGGGGGGGGGAGGGACGGGGACTTTTCATACGCTCCCCGATCACTTTGACCTTCTAGCGGTATGCTAGGGTGCTAGTAATACGACCAGTTATCGATTAGAATGGACTAGAATGAAACGTTTATTATCAAAAATACGTAAAGTAAATAATATCTTGATTTTATCTGTTGTATAAAGCTTGCTTCAAACGTTACTTCCAACAGCTAGTAAGCCAATAAAAAATTCACACAGCATTCAAGTTTTCATTTTATCCAAATTTGCGGTACTGCAAAAGCTAATCTAGATGTTTTGTTTTTTTGAAATGGAGCCCGCAGGCCCAAACCTGGCATGGTGCCACTTTTTAACTGGATCTTTGCCAAAAGATGTGGGGGGCATTCGTATGAAAAGTCCTCCTCCCCCCCCCTTCTACAGTATACTAGACAGGGAGGTGCGAGACTTCACACTCAGCCGTAGGTGTTCACACCTCGCACCTCGGAATTGCTCATCGTATGAAAAGTCACTTACCCGGTTGCGGGCTACCATCTATAGATCAAAGCAAGCTTTACAAAATGTCCTTGAAGGGTTTTGCGTCAAGCTAGTTTCAGTCAAAATAAAAAAAATTCCTACTTTTCAAAAATAAATTTAATCGCATATCAGTTCAAAACAACTCTGCGGACTTCTCACTCGATCACGCATATATTCTTCCAATCAGATATCTACCCATACTTTTGCTGCAATTTTCTGATAGCCATAAATCAAAAAAAACAAATAACGAGCTAAATTCTCACACCGCCAGTAGCGGTTCTGTGTTCCTCGCAAATGTGTGATTACGTAGCTTATTCATTCAGAAATGCTGAATTTGCAGCCTTGTATGTGCTCTAGTTTTTGGAAAATATCAATTCATAGGTTCAAATAGGAAAAAAAACTTATGGGACAACCCAACAGTTCCATACGGAAGAACTATGTTTAATTCGTTACATGATACTCATAAGTCTGCCAAAGACTTTAGGGCAAAAAAGTCAGCAAATCACATTTTTTGGGGACACTCTGTATGCAAGAAATGATATCTTATATCTTCGACGGGATAATCCGCAACGTCATTGCTGTAAGGCAACCAACGCTGCAAGCCTTCCTGGTGCTCCAGTGACTCCTCCTCCTGTAAATGTCACATAAATAAAAAGTTTTCTTGTCTGGTGGACAAAAATCCTACCTGGATGTGCACCGCTTCCGCACAAGTATAAGCCTTTTATGGGTGTAGTGTAATTGCTATACCGGGATACTGGTCTAGTGAAATACAATTGATCCAAGGACATTGATCCGTGAAATATGTTCTGCAAAGTGTAAAAATAATTATTGAAGAAGAAGATTTCAGAAAATGGCAAGTTTCTTACTCCTCCAGTAATTCCAAATATTTTTTCGATATCAGGAGGTGGCAGTACTTCGTATCCGATAACTGAAGACGAGAAATTGGGAGCGTACGCGTCTATCTCATTGAAGACTGAAAGCTACTCAGGTTGATTTCTGAAGCAATGGCAGCATCCAATAATAAGAGTGGTGTTGTTGATTTTGAAGATTATACCGAGCTTGATTAGAGCATAGATGTAAGATAGTTTTATTTTCGTTGTATTATATGAGACAAGAAACTTCCTCCAGTGTTCAAGTTAGGACTGTAGATTTAAGCAGATTTAAGTAGCTAAATTTCCGACCGAGGAAGAGTGGATGGGAATTGGAAACTTCACCTCAATGATTGGCTACTAGTTATAAATTTACTATGAATATAAATTTACTTTGGAGTCACAAAAATCCTGTGCTTCAAGCAGTTTATAGTCGCTTGAAAACCTAGCTATTCATAACAAAAAAAAAGAACTGCGAAGCTTACACCGACGAGGCAATCTTTAGCATTTGGCTTAGTTGGTGATCACCAGCTTGAAACTTTACAGCTGAGACAGTGCTTCAAATTTATCAACAATCTATAACATGGTCTTTATGAAATTGAAACTATCTCAGCATTTTCACCTTGGATTTCCTTAGATATAGTAAATCAAGAGCAAAATAATTTTTTTATTATGAGCGTGATGGTTGAAGACGGCTGGTACTCCTTACGTCAGATGTATACATAAATTCTTTCTTCAATAATTTCAACATACGTACCGGTAACGTCGGAATAAGTTTGTCGCGGATTCGCGACTTCCTTCAAAGGTCGCCGCCCTCCGCCTCGCAAAGGGTCCCAAAACGCCGTCCTCGCGCTGTCCCGCCTCTCACCTCTCTTACCTTCGCAGCGTTCAAATAAGTCACGTAGTCAGTCTTCGCAGCTGCCGTCACAGTGAGCGGTCGGGTTTCCATTTCGTCTCAACTATCGATCGATCCAGCGCTACCCCAACTCTCGCGTGCTTCCATCTACGCCACAGAGGACTGGCTCCCACGCTACGAGGTAACCCCGAGCGCGATCGCACCTGGCACACGCCGGCGACACCGCCTCGGGGGGTTTCCGTTATTGCCGGCCCCTAGGTAACATCTGGCTGGTTGTTGCTCATCCTGTGTGTTTGAGTGTAGGGATTTTATTGCGGATAAATGGTGGGCACTTTACAGGTGTGATATGTGTTGGAGCGGTGACCACGGCTCGGCTGTGGCTCCGGAATATCGGGTTGTCATTTCAGGTGTATTTCGTAATCTTGCCTAGTAGGTAACATCTGTAGGAAGGCTGGCACGATGCTAGCTAAGTGCCACGGTTATGAGTGCACGCCCCAGCTGTCGGTGGCTGGAAGCACAGGTCGATCCCAGGTGACGAGTCGCTACTAAGCAGGCTGGTGGCAAGGGCCCCTAAGAGCGTAAGGAGTACCCACGTGGCAGGCACAACGAGCGTCTCACAGGTAGCCACCACACATTGTATGGTTCACTTATTCACGGTGCGGACCCCTGGCTCCCCTCGCCGATGCAGGAGAGCAATTATACCACTGACGCTGGGAGCTGGGGGCCCAATCCGCGACATGGTGCATCGTACCGGAGTTGAGCATAGGGATAGCAAACCTATGTTCAGCTTCTGTGATCGAGCCTCACCTGTGTAGTCCACATGTGCACGCCCTTGCACGTCAGGGTCCCTAGTTAGCAGTGCAAATTCATCCCATTTTTCCATTTCACATGTTTGCGCAGTGTACACATGCTGGTTGTACCTTGTGGCTCTTTAGAGAACTCATCTTTCGTTTCATCAGCCAGCTCCGACGCGACTAGGTTGACGCGAGTACGCGACTACCCACAGTTCCACTTAGCTGAGAGTGGGGTGATCCCGCAGACCTGGTGGCAGCAGCCATCTGCGCCCTGCCCACTGTCCGGAACTGTCTGGTGCCTTCTGGTGGCCAGGTTTCTCTGCAGCCATTGAGATGGTTCGGCTCTGTCTGCCCTGAAACACGCCATCAGGCCGACGAACGAGCCCTGTATGTTATGTCTGATGAGAGTCTCGCCCCTAAATCCAATTTTCCCACATGCTCGCATTGCGCACTCATTCCTCCTTCTCGTTTTGCAATTTGTGGCTAGGCTTAGCTAGTGACGGTTCCTTGCGATCGATACTGCTTTCGTCATCGGTACTCATGCCCCATACCAACCCCCGGGAGTTTCAGTCGTTGCTTGTTGTTCATCGTTTCACGCATTTCGCTCGTGTATTGTGTTCACCATTTTTGTGTGACTACATCCGCAAGTAGTCACGCCCTCGTCAAGCATACTCATGTAGCACAATTTCAGAATTTGGGTTTGGCAGTTACTACCTCCTGCAAGCTTTCGAGTCAGTGCGCTATCGATCAATATGAACACCGTCGAATCCTACATCCCCAAGGTCCTCAAGGCCATCGAGGACCTGGAGACGATTAGGAAACAGGTAAGTTCCGATTTGCTTACTCCGTATGTGTCTGACGCCCCAGTTGCGGAGCAACTCCATCAGCTCCAGCACCGTCAGGCAGCCACACAGCTCTCCATAGTGAGTCTGAGATCCGCACTTTCGCTTCTGCGTGATCGTCGTGACGTACTCCTGTACCACATTACTACCTCCAGTTCGCCGACAGATCAGCAGGCGTACAGCAGGTTCGAGGAAGAGCACAGCGTGGATCAACATCTCGCAGACGCTGAAGCACTCCTCCGCACCTTGCAGAGTACGCAGGAAGCGGATAGTGAACGCTCTGAGTCTCTTCGTATCCATCGACTCGCTAATTCCATCAGTGAGGATGCTGTTACGGGGACGACAGGAACAGTGACGACGCCCCAGCGACAAGATCGCACAGACGCCCCACAGCTTCAAGCTGTAGATACCCAGTCGGACGTTACACAGCAGTTGGAACATCTTCAGCTTACATCCGCGCAAACTGCCCCATCGTCGCACAACGTACCGATCCATTTGGAGAAGTTAACGTTGCCGCATTTCGATGGAGATGTCACCAAGTTCCAGCAGTTTTGGTGCACGTTTGAGCTAGCTGTTCACAACGACCCCAACATCGACCTCAATATGAAATATCTCTACCTCATGAATTTGCTTAGGGGAGAAGCCCAAGTGGTGTTGCAGGATCTTGAACCAGGACGGAACAATTACCATCACTTAGTGCAAGCATTGAAGAAGCGATACGACTGCCCGAGGAGGACCAGAGCGCTGTTCCATCAGCAGCTCCGAGATCTTCAGCCCGCAACCGAATCAGCTTCGGATATGCGAAACACTTGGTTCCGGATTCAGGGTATCCTTCATGCCCTTACGCGTTTCGAGGATCTGAATCGTGCTCTTTATATCATCGATCTTGTACGGACTAAGTTCCCCCTGTCGATCCAGGAGCGACTTAACAACGTCGAGTTCGAGAAACGAGCCGACTTTGATCTTCGACAAGTCATGTCTCACCTCGATGACCTTATTCAGTCAAGGGAGAGGTTTGAGCAGACTTGCTCCCGCAGTAGTACTTACGTCATCAATAGAGATATTTCCCCAGGACGTCAGCCAACGTCTTCCCCAAGATCACTTTATGATCCAGCCGCATGTTGTTTCTGCGATTCCTTTGCACACTCCTCTCGTGGATGCAACCAACAGCTCCCAGTCAATGTTCGCCGTAAGATCGTGCAACTTCTGGGATTGTGTTGGAAGTGTCTTCGTGAAGGACATCGTCAAGATCAGTGTAATTATCCCATCTGCAGGAATTGTAGAGGCTACCACCATCGACTCCTCTGTAGGTTTGAACCAAGGAGAAGCCGATCCCCAAGGACTAGGTCACCCCATGGATCACGACCCGCTACGAGAAGTCGCCAATCCTCAAAGGACTATTCTCCTTCGAGAAGTCCAGCACGGGACAGCAGAAGATCCCGAGATCGTTCTCGTGATCGTGCTTATCAACCCCGCGAACAGAGAGGATATCGCAGCAGATCGAGCTCCAGCTCTCACTCTCGGGAACACGAGTCATCCCGATCCCCATCTCCACGTGTACGCTTTGACGTGCCCGTCAGAGATTCATCCCCCACGAATCGACGACGTCGATCCCCATCATCACCGGAACGACGCAGAGGACGAAGATCAGGATCGCCATATCCTGAGGAGGCAAGGACGAATGATCAGCTGTTGGTACAGTCCGATACGGAGTATGAGGACTATCACCAGTGTTATCTACGTCTGCAGCTTCATTCGAACAATCCTCAGCTTCATCCAGCTTTGATGCTGGTGAAAGCCAAAGCTCGCACAGCCTCAGGAGATCTCCAGGATATGACCCTTTTACTCGATTCCGGCGCACAGACCAGCTTTATCACCACGTCCGCAGTCAACCGACTAGGTCTCCATGTCTATGACCATCAGCCGCTTACGTTAACGGCTTTCGGAGGACATCAGACCACGGAAGTTTCTGGTAAAGCTGATCTCACACTTATCGACTCATTCGATAAGGAACTCACAGTCTCTGTACGCACCAAAGACCAACTCACAAGCCCCACTACCTCACCAGGACTGTCTAAGGAAGATATCGACTTCATTCGTCAGTTTGGATTCGATCTTCCGACTTACCATAAGGATGCATCGATTAACGTCGACGTTCTTATAGGTATTGACCATTTCTGGGACATCATCACACAAGGATCGTCTGTATGCCTACCGTCAGGACTAGTTCTGACCCACACACGATTTGGTACCGTTGTCTCTGGTTCATCTTTTTTTCGCAGGTTCATCCCGTCTCAACATCCACCGGGATGGAGCAGTGGCGAGAAGACGATGAAGACGAGGACATCGTCGCCAGATTGTGGCAATTAGAACGTTTAGGTATTACAGATAAGCCCCACGACGACGAAAACGCCATCGCTAATTCCCATATCCTCAAGCACTTCGAGGATACCGCATGCTTCGACAATGGGTTTCTCTACGTACAGTTTCCTTGGAAGGAATCACATCCCCAGCTGGCCGACAATAAGCAGTTAGCTTATTGCCGATTAGTCAGTCAATATCGCAGTCTACAGGAAAGACCATCCGTATGGAAGAGCTACTGTGCAGCCATA